CCTTGATATGTGCTTGAGAATGGCTTAGTCTCCGGTTAAACCCAGGTTTAAAGCCTTGCAGGGCAGCATAAAGCCCACTGCCAACATTAAGACAGAAAAAAGAAAGAAGATAAACAGTCAGTTCAGGTGTTTTAAAATATGTGAATCAGGAAGTTGTCCATTTACCAAACTGAACGATTGTTTTCTAATTCAAAAAACACTTTAGATTTTAAAATGTAAAAATGTCTTCTTTTTTTTAAATATTTTTATTTATTTAAAAAGTCAATGTATAACATTGATGCATAAACACCTCATTTCATTTCATTTCGATCTTCATTATTCGGACCCCACTGATTTTTAATTGGTGACCCCTGACCTAGAACCATTTCATTTGATGACATCACCACTACTCTTTCGTTCCATTGGGAAAAATGTCACCAGTCAAACTGATGGCCAGTGGGAGTTGTAGTAGTATCTGAATTCTGGGAGTCCTAATGTTAACCCGATTCATTGCTTTAGTCAAAAATCATTTGTATTACATACACAGCAAATATAACTAGCATTTCATCAGTGCCATCATTATTAAAAGCTACGATGCAACTATAAAAAGTGTTTGTTAGACACATGTCATATCAAGTTCCCCAGAGATACAGAAGGGCACATTAGGACTAGATTATGTCGACACATTAAAGTATTAATGAGGGAGAAGAGGTAATGGCATCAAATCGCCGCTTTGACTAACCTTTGGGACCTCAATCTCCCAGATGACGAGTTCCGAGGAAGAAGAGGCGGCGTTGTTGACTTGGGACTCGCAAACACCCATAGTGCAGCCACTGTCCACAGAGTCCATACTGTTGACATCAGAACCTACAGACAGAAGGCGTCATCACATTTACCGTTAGAACACATCAGATCAGAAACATTGATTACATATTGAGCTAATTTAGAGGCAGGGAGGCATGATGGGAGGCCATCACATGAATCTGACCACACAGAGCCGTGAAGAACTATTGCCTCCTACTTCTAAGAGGGTCGTAATCCAAGTAGGTTTACTATGTCAATGTGGTTACTGTTACTAACATCAAAGTATTTTGATTCTTTACAACGCAGATTGGAGAGGTAACTACTTAGATTCACACAAAAACATTCCAGTCTTCAAACTAGTTTATCTGCACAGGAAGAACTGAAACTACCAGAGAAAAATCCCTCTGAGATGTTTCAACACTGAGTGTTAGGATAAACCTACTGAACACAGATAACAGCACCAACATTTTGCATTTATTGTTCAGGTTAGATCGCCATGGACTATCCATCCAGGAAGCAAAAACACCTGTATGGAGATAAGCCACTACTGTTCCATTTTAAGCGCCAGAAGAAAGAAGCTGGATCCGAATACAGCAAATCACCAAAGACTCTAAAGTAAAGTGGAAGAATGTTTGCAATGATAAGTGCTGTCTAAATATAGCTTGCAACAAAGAAGGAGGTACCATTATGCTACGTTCACACCGCACGCACTTTCAGCAACAGAAGTGGCCGGTTTACATGTAAAGTCAATGGTTGACGCACATCAAAAGGTCCTGCAGCGCATCTAGAGCAGGAGGAGCTTTGCTTTAACTTCTGAGGATCTGACGAGCTTCACAAGCAGCAGCTGTTAGAGTTGGAAAAATTTAACTTTTGCTGCTGGATGCGCCACATCAACCAATCAGAGAAGCTGATCTGGGAGCTGGCAGGGAGACAGACAGCACTGCTGATGCAGAGCGCTATGATCGCTCCTCTGAAACAGTTTATTAGCACCTAAATTAACTGAAAATGCCTAAATCTGCTGGAAAAACGTGTTCACTTTTATTATCCTGGTGCCTGCGGTTTGTACCACATACCTGAAAAATACTAACATCTACTTCCAGCCGCCACAAAAAGTGGGGGTTAAGGCCTGAGGCAGCTGCTGCTGGGGATTCCCAGTGACAGCGCACCGTCGGTATGTGGGGGTCTGAGCGACTCCGGCAGAGAAATAATACTTTTAGGCAGGATCATAATCCGGATGAACTGACTGCAAAGACCATGTTTTCAGGGGGACTTTCTCACTTAGAAATATATGATCACAGCAAATATAGCAAAGCAGCTCTGTGCCACTGAACAAAGGAGCAGCAGAAGCATCAAACACATCTTGACAACCTTTACTGGACAGGCTTCAGGAGCATCAAAGATGCTCTTGAAGCTCGTCTGACCTTAATGTGGACAAGCATCAACATGAAGCAACTAAAGCTTTCTTCCTGCTTAAAGCGCGTGCGGTGTGAACGTAGCGTTAGGACGATGGAGGCATCTATCATTGTTCCTTTAACAAAACAACCTGGAAACGTTCTTATCACTGATCTTTATTCACTGGATTGCTGATAGACCTGCCACCATCTTGGTAGTCCCCACTTTCACTGAGTCGCGCCATAAAACTACCTTTAATGTAATGTTATCATAAAAATGTTATCAATACATGTATATACCATATACATAAATGATTTTGTGGGGTGTGCTGTGGAACAGTAATAATATCTGACTATAGTATTATTTTGCTCCATTAATATACTTTGTCATAATGTTGCTGCTATTGATTTGCATAATATCTTATATTACTTGATTTATACACTTCATACTGACTATGAATGATTATTTTTTTTTAATCTTAAATGACTAATCTACTGATGCTATGAAACGGCGTGTGTGAAAGTGATTACTTTTTAAAAAGCAGCCTGAAAATGAGATCATCATCGTTTTACAATGCATTAGAGCACATATTGTTTACATTCCAACTGGTAGGGAGTACCAATATGGCGGCCTGTAACTTCACAGCACTGTGTACTACCAACTGCCTATCAGCAATCCAGTGAATAAATAGAGATTAGGGATGCACGATATAATCAGCCCCCTAACGGTATCGGCCTTAAAACTGAATATCGGACATCGGCCACCCCACCGATATTTAATCAGCTTCTGAGTTTCTAAAGTCTGGAAAAAAAAAAAAAAATACTACTTCTTCTTCTTCCTCAAAAACTTCTTTTTTACAGACTTAAAAACTT